TGGTTCAGTGAGAGGAAGGATTTGTAGTAGTGTAGTGTTTGGACGAGATGTCCTGGTTGCTTCTTGTGCTGTGGATAACCGCTGAGAAGATAACAATGTGCAATGTATTAATTATTGAAAATGTCCTATTAATTAGCTTGGAAAGTGTCTCATTGATATTTGTTTCTCAATAAAATACAAAAAAAGAAAATCCAGGAGCAGTCGTAGACCTGGAAATGGAAAACAAAGAATATTCTAGTTCTCCTTCAGTCTTTCTGACTGCTTTTCTCAGGCTACTGTGGGAATTCTACTAAATTTTAAATTATGTCCTTGGCTCATGTACTTCCTAAGTATTAGTAGAACCCTGATACACATTTCTGGGCAATATCTTTGTCTGACAGCCTAACTAATCTCACAAGATGTTTTATTCCAGTTACAAATTAAACATGTCCAAGCTAAACTTGTTTTCCTCATATCTCCCGCCCTCTAAAATCTTTCCGTTTTCCTTAAAATCCAACCAATCACTATTTCCTTTCTCCTAACTGTCTTAGGCCTGTCCTTACATTTCTATGTGTATCTTAACTTCCACCTACGTGAATTGGTCTTCTAGCTTCCTAATATTTTTCATGCTGTTGATGCCCTTGATCTGGTCTTTAATTTTTTTAACTCCTACCCTGCCATTCTATCCACCTTTGATACTGTATGCCAGGAGCACAGAACTCCCAGTGGAAAAACACTTACTCCATCTGTAATTCCTGACCCAATTTGGTTGCTTTATTTTTTCTTCTACTGACAAGCCAAATGTTGTCTCTCTGATAGTTTTCTTTCATTCTCCCACAACATCAGTACATCTTTTTATCTAGCCCTGCTGCTCCTGTTTTAGAACACTCACGTGAATGCTCCTTACAGCGTAATATGAGAACCAAAGCATACTGTCTTTTATAATCTGCTCCCACCTAGTTCAGTTCCTGAACCTTTTCTATTTCTTTTTGTGGATAAACAGGACTTCTGTCTGTCTGTCTGTCTGTCTGTCTGTCTATCTGTCTGTCTATCTGCCAATCATCTATCTATCTATCTATACTCTATCTATCTTCCCTTTGTTTTTGTTTTTATTCAATACAGGGTACACAGAGTCTCACTCTGTAGATCAGACTCGTGGTGGTGATCTGCCTGTGTTCAGCCTCCCAAGAGCTGAGATTACAGGCGTGCGCCACCATGCCCAGGTTCAGTGGCCCTTTCAGTGCACCCTGGGGGTGGGGCTGGCATGGCATGCCTGGGGTTGAAACCTGGCTGCTGCATGTGCCTAAGCAAGTGCTTTAATCCACTGAACTATTTGGCAGGCCCTTACCTATGTTCTATTATCCTCTATTCTGATTTCAAATATAGTCCCCTCCTACTCCCTCTGTTCCTTTTTTTTTGGCAGATAAAACGTCTTTGCTCATTGCTTTCTATTCCTCATACTCTATTCTCACCATGGCCAACTGCAATCAATTTTCTATCTCTAAAATCTGACCAAATCTATACACCTATCAAAACCATCAATGTGTTCTGATTATTTTGTTCACTGGAAACTTTTTGGTGATCTCTTGCTTGATCTCCAGACCATAAGGCTTTGTTACAATACCTTTCTTCTTCGAAACAGCTCCTTAGTAAGTTTCTGGTAAAAGTCACAATTTAGTTTACCTCTTAAATCTGTCCACTTCTCTTGATTCTATATAGATTTCTTTTCCTTGGTTATTTTGTTAAATAGTGATGTTGTTCAGGCCTTCATTTTTATCCTCTTATTTTTGCATCTTTCATATTCACCAGACAATCATATACCTACCTAGGAATTTAACTTTTAATTCCTACTCTCAATTTTTAGTTATCTGATGAAGCAAGCTAGAAATGTTGAAGTATTTATTGACTTTTGACTAGTAAAGTAAAGAATTCAGTTTTGGTATCTAAGGCATATAGCATAAGAGAAAATCACCCCCAAAATCTTCATTTGTTTCCCAGATTCATTTTCTGAGCTTTAAATTCTGCTTCTTGGCCACAATCACTTTGATATTGCTATCTTGATATTACTATCTTTCCCCATCATAGGTGCTTCTTCTCTTGTACTTGTTCTTGACCCCTTCACTTTCATCTTTTCCTCTAAGCAATCATGTGGTGATAAGTATCTGAGTATTTCAACTTCTTTTCATTTGCTTAACATTGTCCTTTATTCTCTGTCTCTCTCTGTTTCTCTGCCTCTGTCTGTCTCTGTCTCTGTCTGACTCTGTCTGTCTGTCTGTCTGTCTGTCTGTCTGTCTGTTGTCTCTGTCTGTCTGTCTGTCTGTCTGTCTGTCTGTCTGTCTCTCTCTCTCTCTCTCTCTCTTTCTCTTTCTCTCTGTCTTTCTCTCCACTACCAATAAGTGTACCCAGGGCCTTATCACAGAGCAAAACCCTCAGTTCTTTTCATGTTTTCAGATAGGGTCTTGTTAAGTCATTAAGTGGTCCAGGCTGGGCTCAAACCTGTGACCCTTCTGGCTCAGCCTGCCTGAGTGCTGGGATTACAGGTATGCATGCACTGCTGTGATCAGCTATGATTGCCCTAATGAAAGGAACTGCCTTTTAATCTCCTTTATTGCAACATCCTCCAGTGACCTTTGTGTTACTTCCAGTCTTGTTCCTTCAAATTAATTTGTTATAGTCGGTGATCAGAGTGATGTTTTCAAACTCAGTGTAGCTCTCCAGTGCTCATGATCAAAACTTTTCCATGATTTTCTTTTCAGCAAGAAAAAATTCAAATTCCATACACTGGTTCACAAATCTCCTCATAGTTTGGCTGCAATCACATTAAAATTCATGTACATTTTCCTTCACTGGCTAGCTACGACTGCATTTCTAATTTCTATTGGGTCCTCATCAGAACATGACATGCCATGGCCATCCAAAATGTACTTTCTCCAGCTAAATGTTTATTTTGCTTTTTCCTAAATGTTTATTTTGCTTTTTCCTCCATCTGGGTCCTTTTTAACTATCCCTTTGGTATGACCCAAGTGTTGACGCTGGTATCCCAAAAAGTGACTTGGGTGTCTTTTATCTGTGCCCCAGTATCAGCTTTTACCCAACCCATCTTAGTATTTATGTCCTTGTGGTGTTCCTATCAAAGTGAAGTAGCACAGAAGAAAGACCTGATCCTAACTCATACTACCTGCAGTATTTTAGGCACTAGGAGGTGAGCCTGAATGTTTTTATTGATACTGAGTATAGTTGAAACTTAGTCCATTGGTGTTGGATACATTGATCACTTCCAAATCCATGTCTTTAGCATGGGCTGACATTTTCAAATGTCTTAGGAGTATTTGCATTTGGATAGCACATATGCAAATCGACCTAATTTTAATTTCTGTAAAATACTTTCTTCCACATTTCTCCTCTTCAGAGTAATTACAAACATTGAGGTCACCTACTGGATTTGCGCCATCCAAAAACAAAGTGTAATTTTCATGTTTTCTAAACATATTCTGCAGAAAGTATGAGGTGTGAAGAAAAATGCAATGAATGTTTACACTTTTAAAATTGTATTACAGTCAAAGACACATTGCCATCAGTCTCCATCAAAATGCTCCCCTTTGCTTCACTCATACTTCCCCATCATTCTTGCCACTTTCTGGAGCACTTCTGGAAGTCTCTTTCATGTTTTCAGTTGCACTGTCAAGAATGTCACCATGTTCTGAGTCCATTCCCCATGTTCACCTTTTATGTCAATTTTGACTTTGGGGAAGAGGTGAAATTCACATGGTGCCAGACCCAGTGCATGAGGATATGCTGTCATGCTTTTATGAGCCTGCCCTTCCATTCGGTGACATACAGCAGCCACCACATTCACCGTATATTTTTATCACCTCTCCCGAAGACACTCAGGACAGAGGACTTGCTTCCAGAACTGCTTCCAAAAGTGGGAAGATGACAGGAGAAGAGTATTCCAAGGGTGGGAGAAGATTTCAAGGGGTTCATGCTGATGGGTCTTCTACCGAGGGAATTTTTTAATGTAAATATTCACTAAATATTTTGATCATTCCTTGTATCACTTGGAAAATTAAACATTTCATTTCTTTATTTTTATAAAGAGCCCAAACGAAGAAATAATGACCACTGAGAGTGCTTTTGCCTAAGATGGTTTCTTCCTGCCTCTTAGTAAAGTGCAAAAATCAACATAACCCTTAATGATGCTAAACAAAGTATCACTGGGTAATATAATTACTTTTTTAGAAAAAGGATAAAACAATTCCCAAACTCCATTAAGATACATTTTTTGATTTCCTATAGGCTTGAATTACATGTGTGTTTATTGAATTTGGGTCTTTCTTTCCAAATAATGAAACCAAATTCTACTTGTTATAATAATAAAACAAACTGTTCTTTGGTATTTTTTCCCAATATCGGTATTAGGAAATGTGATTAGTCAAAGCTCTTTTTTTCCATAAACCTTATCAATCAATAACTGAGTATATTCAAAGGTTATGGTTTGATTTATCATGTATACCTGTCTTTCTTTTAAGCTCTTAGAGGGCCAGCACTTTTTTGTACTTTCCATGTTTAGAGTCCAAAGGTGATGTTTTCTGCTCATGTTTCAGGGTAGTTAATTATTTAAATAAGTTACATGTAAATTTTAAAATGAAGGAGATGTTGGAAATATAAATTCCTCATGAAACTAGGAAACTATGTTCAGGAGAGTTTAAACAAATCCTGATAGCTAATTAGCAAAAAGTTGGAACTAGAAAGCAAGTCACTGTGTAAAGTAAAATTTTGTATGAAAGATAACAGTGCTATCTTTTGAATGTTTATTAAGTAATAATTTCTAGCTGAAGACAGAGGAAGGATTTTTTTTTTTTTTTTGGTCGGGGTTGTCTTTGAAATTAAAATAAAACCATTTGAGAAAGGTAACCGCTTAATATGTTTGATGTTTCTTTTCTCTCCTGCCTGATATTGTACACATGCTGATTGTATATTTCTACTTCATCATTAATGAACATTGTTTGCCATACTTGCAGTGTAAATGAATCTGATCCTTCTTTTGAAGCAACCAGAAGGTATTATTTCTGTTTTCACCCGAGTTTAATAAGAATAACTTCCTTCCTCAGTCCTCACTTTAATCCTTGACTCCTAGTCGTCTTTATCCTGATGATGTACCGTTATTATTTAAGAATGATCCATATTTGCAAAAGCAGTGGTTCGCAACCTTTGCAGACAGCCAGGAGACGATTTGCCCAACAAAAAATTGCCTGCGATGGGGTCTGTTTGTTTCTCAGTCACATGTTTGAGTCTCAGCTGAAGTTCAGACTACCTTCATTAACTAGAGTTTTAGAGCTTATAAAATAAAGATGCAAGAATTAATGCGTATGCTCTTTGTGATTCAAGCACCTATAAGGCAAGGATTGAGAGGGGAGTGCTTCATCTACTTACAATAAAAATTGCCCTTAGGGGTTGGAGGGTTAGCTCAGCGGTAAAGCACATGCTTAGAACATCGGACACCCTGGGATTCAGTACTGGCACCAAAGAACCAGAAAAGAACCCTTCAAGGCCAGGGCAAAGGGAGGCAAATGCATCGGAGTTTGGGAACCACGGCTTTCCTGCATATGTGATGACCTGAATGACTGCTAGCATCCTATGCGATCTCATGTCTTCTAAACTCCTAAGATGTAGTTTCCTGGGACAATCTCTGACCATCTAATTTCTTCTTTTTAAAACTTACTGTCCTTTAACCTTAATTCCTTCATTACTACTTACAGATCATGGACTAACCATGGAAATCCGACTTCTAAGCTGATCTGTCCCCTTCGCCACCCCAGTCCCATCACCCTCTTTACCCTCAGCCTGCATATATTTGCCTAATTATTGCAAATTAAAGTCCTATATATATATATATATATATATATATACACACACACACACACACACATATATATATATATATGTATATATTAGAATTTGCAAGTCAAACAATGGAAAGGGAGAAGAAGAAATTAAAATAAAGCATAAAACTATGCTTTGAAATATGTAGTTTTAAAATGTATAATTTCTATGCTTGCCTTGGCAGCACATAAACTAAAATTGGAACTATACCGAGAAGATTAGCATGGCCCCTGCACAAGGATGTCATGTGAATTCATGAAGTGTTCCACATTTTTTTTTAAAAAAAAGGATGTGTAATTTCAACATTGAAAAGAACTTTTTAAGATATTATTCTTCTGTTTTGAAATATTTGTTACCCACTGGATTTAAAATATGGCAACATAATTAAGCCACAAGCAAATAGCATAATTATGCCATCAATTCCCTCCTTTGAAAAAGACCTGCTTACAGCATTCATTGCTACATGCAGCACTTTTCCTATAAAATAGGGCTGGGGAGTGTAGCGCGGTGACACAGCACCTGCCCAGCGGGAACAAGACCCTGAAGTTCAATTCCCAGTACCAAAATAAATGAATAAATATTAAAAAAAAATAAAATATCTGTGGTTATTGGAGAGAGGGAACTTGTATTCATTTTTAATGGAAAGTTACAGACATTTTCAAAAAGAAAATATAAATTAGCAATTTATAGTTTAAAACATTTCATCATTGCACATTATATGGCATTGTGATTAAATTTTAATCTCATTAATTTAGGTGGCTTGTTTAATCATTTCATAAGGTTGTTGGCTGTTTAAACTTTTCTTTTAGAAAGTTCTATTTCTGTGTCTGAGATCTTTTATCAACTATTTTCCCCTTAGTTATAAAAAAAAATACACAGTGCACTACCTTGTGTAATTCTAGTATTTTTTTTTTCTTTCCCATTTTCCAGTAGGAACAGGTATTCTGTGGCTTATGCAGCTCAAAAACCTTGGCTGCTAAATGCTACAGTAGAAGAAAATATTACCTTTGGAAGTCCTTTCAACAGACAAAGGTAATTGTGTGCATATAAAATTTGGAACTGAAGCAACTATTTCTGACACATACTCTTGGCTTCGTATGAAACCTTTACATACGAATCTTCCTTTCTTTCATGGTAGCCCCCTTTCCACCCTCATTCCCATAGTCTTTTGAATCATGTCTTTTAAGAAAGTCCTCATTGGGGGTTGACCAGATAGCTCAGCAGACTAAAGTGCCTGCTTAGGCAGAGAGCAGCGGCCAGGGTTCGATCCCCATCCTTCCATGCCAGCCCCACGCAAAGGGCACACTGAAAGGGTGATTGAGACCGGGCGTGATGGCACATGCCTGTAATCCCAGCCCTTGGGAGGCTGAACACAGGAGCATCGCTACAAGTCTGATCTAGGTAGTGAGACCCTGTAGACCCTATAGTAAATACATTTTCAAAAGTCTTCATTGGAAGTTCCAGCCCATAGTGTATACTCATTGAACAATTAGGACACCAAGACTACCCATAACAACTGAAGTGTGCGTGTATGTGGGAGTGAGGGTTGCTTAGGTAATTGGTGATCCGATGAATACAAGGAAAACTCAAGGGAGTTGAAGGAGAGAGGTGGACAAACTCATGTAACATCCTTGGGGCTGGGCATCTGGAAGCTGTAGAATATGTCGTGTCCCAGCCATCTTCCCCTGAAACAGGAAAGTGCGAGCCTTACCTTGACCCTCCTTTATGACAATGAATCATCAGCCCCTTCACTGAGACCTGCAGGCTGAGAATTAGGCAAGGGGAGTGGCATGAGGGAAGGGAAGGGAGTTTGAAAGGAGACAGTGTGGGGGGAGGAACAAAGCTTTTCTGGATCTGTCTTGGGTCTGCGCACAGGTCAGATGGATTGGGGTTCCGTAGGCTGAGATGAGGTCTTATGGGACATAAAAGCCAATTATAGTATAATTATAAGTACTTGTGTTCTGAGGAGGTGCTGCAAGCTCTACAAATGGAGAAAATGAGGTGAAAGTGGTGTCTCATGTGGAAGTACAGTCTGAAAGGTTAGATATAGGTAGATAAGAGATGAAGATATTCTGAGCTGAGGTCAAGAAGACTTAGGATTCCACTGAAATGATTACACAGCCAGGCAGTTAGTTAGCTGCACTTAGAAATGATAATAAAAGAATATAAAGCATGGATGACTGAGGAAAAGAAATAGCTTCTAGGATAAAAATAAATAAATAGGGCTGGGGTGATAGGTTGGTGGTCTAAGTACCTGCCTAGTAAGCACAAGGACCTGGGTTCAATCCCTGGTACCACATGCTGTGCCAGCCCTAGAACCACAGACACACCATGCTGGTCACTGAAACTGGGCATGGTGGTGCACACCTGTAATCTCAGTGCTGGGGAAGCTGAGACAAGAGGGTGAGCTGCATAGTGAGACCCTGTACCAAATAAATAAAACACTAAAAAAAAAATGATTAAAAAAAAGCAGGAACAAATGTGAGGGCAAAAGAGAGAAAAATCAAGAATTATTTGAATATTTTAAGAAAACAAAACCATTAGAGATTTATCCCAGTGTCTCCAGTACCCATGTGTCTTAGTTATTTGTTTTGGTGCTGAGACCAAATACTTGATACCCAAAATTACAGGGGAAGGAGGTTTATTTAGCTCACAGTTTGAGGAGATTTCAAACCATAATTGGCCGGCTCGAGGGCAGGATGGCACCTGGCAGAGGGGCAACTGTTCATGGCAGTTGAAGACAGAAAAAACAACAGAGACAAGTCTCTTTAGGTCCCTTATGTTGTACTCAGAGTACCAGGATTAGGGTGGCGCCAATCCAATCCGTAGGCTGATGGAGAAATCACCCAACCTCAGTCTCAGCACCCTTAATCCCAGCATTGCACCACTAATCAATCACACACTACATTAAGCCACCTCCACAAAAGCCCTCTGACTTTGTGAGGCTTTGGAGGACATGCTTCACATCACTGTTCTCTACACTATTTGTGAATATTTTGTTTCAGGGGCTGGAGAGATAGGTCAGCATTCTAATTGCCTGCCTGGCAAGCCTAAGTACCTGTGTTCGATCGCCAGTACCACATGCCATGCCAGCTCTAGAATCCTGGGCACACCATGCCAGCCACCAAAACCAGGCATGGTGGTGAATGCCTGTAATCCTAGCACTGGGGAGGTTAAGACAGGAAGGTCACTATGAGTCCAAGCTGTGTAGCGAGATCCTGTACCAAATAATAAATAAATAAATAAATAAATAAATAAAAAATATTTTAGTTCAGCTCCCAAGATATTGAGCCTGGGACTTGGTTTGTTGGCGGTGTACTAATGATAAGTTAAAATCCCAAAACCTTTCTCTGCCAGGTACAAAGCTGTCACGGATGCCTGCTCTCTTCAGCCAGACATTGACCTGCTACCATTTGGAGACCAAACTGAAATCGGAGAGAGGGTGAGCTGTGGATGGCTGAATTAAGCGAGGGACAAAACTTATCAGTGGTTGCCTTTTATCCTGACATAATGAACTCTGAGAGACAAGAAGCTGAATGGTATCTTAGTGACAAAGTCCAAAATGTGAGGATAAGTCTTTTGATGCTGCTAGCCCTTGACGATTCATTGAATCACCACCCATCAAACACCCTTGGGAGTTCTCAAAGGAAAAATGCAGTCCCTGGCTTTGGCCAAGTATATTTATACTGACTTGGGGTTTACTTTAATTGCTCCGGAACCCAAGGTTGCTTCCAACAGCTTCTTCCATTCTTGTCAACTTTTATTTATTCTAGTTAAAGGATTCCGCTTTCTTTGCATAAACATGTTTTACATTGACGTCATGCTCTTGTGACCAGCTGAAAAATGTTTATACCTAAACTCTTTATAACATCAGTAACTAAGTGTGTTGAGCCTCGTAAGTATCAAGAACCAGATGAAAACTATACATGTTACCTAGTTTGACAACAAATCAGTATTGTGGGCGATAACTGTTTTATACCTATTATAGCTGAGGAAAGCCTAGGCCAGCCCAGAAAGCGTAAGAACTGGCCCCAAAGCAACTAGTGATATCCGAAGGTTACTCCAGCTCTGTTATCTTTCCTTCTTAATGGTTTTTAATCACATCAAATGCTCTTTACTTCAGCACAGTATAGTGTCTAGGAAAACTAACTTAACTTCTCTGAGCTTTAGATTCTGCACATGTAAAATGAGAATAGTACCTACACAGTGGAAATTCTATGAGGAAGAAAAGAAATAAGAAATATAAAGCTATTTACACAAGCCTAGTAATACTAAGTGCTAAATTAATACTAGTTTTTTAAAAAAGTATATATAATTAATGATTCCTTGGGAAAGAATACTGGTATATGAGCCTGTTTAACATAACATGTAACATCAAATATAAGAGCTGTGTGTTATATAGTCTACAAATAAAATTAAAGAAACTAGGAAATGTGGAATTGCTTGCAGTTTCTGGTGTTTGTCAAGGGTTTTCATTATTAATGCTTCAGTAAGGCAGAGCTGTCGATCAGAATGAAAAGACAAATGCCAGTAGTGAAGTAGTGTCTTGATGTAATTCAATTACTATTATTTCATTTTTTCATATCAATGTTACACAATTTAATTAATAAATTCCTAGCAATTTAAAGAAGGTTTCAGAAGTTTATATTTCAAAGGCAATTTTGGTGACAGATGCTATACTAATAGGGAAAAAATGGAAGTTTCTGGCTATTTCTTCCCTAGGGCATCAACCTGAGTGGGGGACAAAGGCAGAGAATCTGTGTCGCACGGGCACTCTATCAAAACACCAACATTGTCTTCTTGGTAAGAATATCACTTTTCTCTTTATTTCCATCTCCTTTTCCCCTCTCAGACAGTGAGCCTTTAAACAGACAGGTCAAGTAACTTAAGAAAAGATGGTTTAACTTTGTAAATCATAGAGCTCGTAGGGGAACCAAACCTCCCAGTTCAAACCAGTAGAAGCTGGCATGGATAGGTGGGGACCAGGGGGTCTAGTTCATGTCCAAGAGACTGTGCTGCTCAAAGTGGGGGGTTAGCTGCATTTCCTGGTCCAGAAGGGACCAGGGAGTATGGAGGGTTGGATCAACTGGGAAGAATCATGAATCTTTTTATTTATATTTTATGCCAAAGAAAGAAGGACCGGAAAATATATGTTGGTGGACATGGGGTAGGTACACAGCTCTCCATGCTAGGGCCATGCAATTCAGGCTCCAGTAAGACCTGTGATGCTTCTTAAAGCTCTTGAAACCTTGGTCCTACTCTAACCTATGGACTCATAATCTGGAGGGAAGAGTCTAGAGCTGTCTCTAAAAAGCTCTGTAGGTGATATTCATGTTCATATTGGGTTAATAATATATTGCTAGGGCTGGCCAAATAGCTCAGCAGATTAAAGTGCCTGCTTAGGCAGATGCAGGGACAAGGGTTTGATCCCGCCCTGCCGTGCTGGCCCTGCCCTGCCATACTGGCCCTGACTCCAGGGCATGCTGAGACAGTGATTGAGACTGGGCATGGTGACAAGTGCCTGTAATCTCAGCTCTTGAGAGGCTGAACACAGGCAGATCACTACAAGTTCGATCCACATAGTGAGACCCTGTCAACCTTGTACTAAAAAACCAATGATAATAATAGCGTAATGCTACTAACATAATAATGGGAGCTAGCTCGGTGGCATAAGCATCTGCCTGGCAAGCACAAGGTCTGGAGGTCCATCCCCAGTTACTGCATGCCGTGCCTGCCTGGGGATCAAGCATTGTGGTATACTCCTATAATCCCAGCACTGGGGAAGCTGAGACAGGACGATCACTATGAGTCTGAAATGCATAGCGAGACCCCATATCATATTTTTAAAATGTATTCTATCCACATAGTGACAAAATTTAATGTTTACCTTAATAATGATTTTGGTTTCTCCAAGAAGTAGTGTGCATGCAAAATAATGCAGTGTGTACCTACCCAGTGTGTGATACAGTGCAGTGGTTTGTACATATGTACACTTTGTTTCCCTTTTCCTCCTTCCCACTCTTCTTCGCTGATCTCTTTTAGCATCAGATCTACTAACTTCTTGATCATTACCTCTGAAGGTACACTGCTTACCGTAACAGCATGGCTTTGCCTTGTTGTTGGCTTATATATGCTTCCTGTTGATGTCCAATAACCTTCCATCATAGAAGACTTAGCAAAAAGTTATTATCTTATGATTTGGTATTTCAGAAGTCTGACGAAGTGTCAGGGAGGCTGTTAACCTCTGGGGGCTCTGGAGGGATAATCCATTTCCTCGTATTTTCCAAATCTTCTAGAGGCTGCCCATATTCCTTGTCTCATGGCTACCTTTTTCCCTTCTCAAAAATTAGTATCGTTATACCTTTTTGACCTCTTTTACATGGTCACATCTCTCATCTGTACAGCCCAGAAAGTTCTCTGCTTTAAGGACTCCTGCAATTATTTGAGGCCCATCTGTTAATCTGCCCCATCTTAAGGTCTTTTACCTTAATCACATCCACAAAGGTCCACTCACCACATAAGCTAACGTAGCCAGGGGTTCTGGGATTAGGACTGGGAGCATCTGTGGGGACCATTATTCTACCTGTCCAGACAACTCTTGTGATTGAAAAGTTCTAATGTGATTGGGATCTGCTTCTGTGCATTTTCCAATCATTGGCTTTCCTGCTGCTTCTGCAGTAATGAATATATTACTTCTATGCAGCCATAGTTCAATATTTTAATATTATTGCCATAGCATGCCTTGACTTACATTTTGCTAGGCTGAGCAAGCTTAGAATTTTCAATTCTTTCACAGATGACAACATTTTTACAACTTTTGTTATCCTGGATCAAATAGTATTTGTCAGATTCCCCTTTAAAAATATGTACTAGGGGCCGGCGAGATAGCTCAGCAGACTAAAGTGCCTGCTTAGGTAGGCTTAGACAAGTGTAGGGACCATGGTTTGATCCCCCGCACCACCTGCTGGGCTGGCCCCATCCTCAGGACACGTTGAGCTGGCCAGAGTCCGGGCATAGGGGTGCATGCCTGTAGTTCCAGCTGAAAGCAGGAGGATCACCACCCCGGGTCCAAGCTGCATAGTGAGACCCCACAATAGCCAAATACATTTTAAAAAATATGTACTAGATAAATTCTCATTAGCTCAGATAACCTTGAAGCCTCTGGCTCTTATGACCAAAGTATTATATTTACTTCCTTGCAATTTAAAATTCAAAGACATGCCAAGTAGCCAGTAAGCGATATTGCTGAATCTCTGAATTCTTCCAATATGAAAGTGTCTTAAAGGAAGTGCTCTGAATCACAGTGCTGTGCCCTTTGAGTTTCATGTCTGTCCTGGAGGGTAACCAGGAGGAAACAGATGGGCAGATGTGAAGGGCAGATGGGCTGAGGATGCCTGTGGGGTGGAACCTGGGCTAGAATAGTAGATCTTTTCCATTCTGTGTTTCTCATCACCTAAAATTCTCTAGTACTTTCGGAATATGTCTCTAAAATGACTTAATACTTGCTTTTATTCTCCTTCTTTTTCACCTTTCTTCTTGTTCCCTTCCTCTTTTTTCTTTTCTTTTTCTTTTTTTTACATACCCACCAATGATGTGTTTAGTCCAATCTTCTGTATTGGGCAGAGGAAAGAAAGATTTCTTTCCTCTGTCTTTAAGACTGTTACTTGCACATATAATAATTACATGGATAGTTTTACATTTTGCCTTAAAAAACTTCTGTCATGTTAGCCTTAACACAATATGGAAACCACTTACTTACGCATTGGTAATAGCTATCTCTGAAATTTTACAGGCTATGCAATGTGATGAATATTATTTACAAAAATATATTTATGCAACAAATATAATGCTTAATAACATACTCAATATGACAGAGGACATATTTATGAAGATTATTTACTCTTCAAAGTAAATAACTGGCCACACCTTGATTGGGTCTTTTGGAAAATTATCTTACTTTCTCTTGAGAAGTGTCTCCCAAAACTCTTAAAATACAAAATGAATCCTGAAACAGAATTTTTTCGCAAAACAGGGTTTTATTAAGTTTTATAAAAGGTTACACTTGCTTACACTTGCCCAATAGTGAGATCCGGATGTACGAATGATAAATTTTGCTGATAGAGACATGACTCCACACACTCTCCACACATTCTCTCACACAGTAACCTTTACAGATTTGACATTGCTGTTCTCATTGTTGTAACTGATATTTACTGATGAGAAAAAATGCTTTGAGGGACATCCAGGGGTGCAGAAATAGTGGAGCGAGGCTACAAATCCAGGAGGCTGGATTTCATAGCTCCTGATCTTTATTACCACACTCTTCCCTATTAAAGTATTCCTGCAAGATACTAAACTCCCTGAGTATGCATTAGAGAAATACACACAAATACAGACCTGCCACAGCTTTATGTACAAGAAAATATAAATAAAATGCTTAAAAATGATTTACAGAAACATTTATTATATCATTGAATTGGAGTTTTTGCGGCACTCTGATGTTCTTCCTGACAGGTCTCTTATCCTTATCTTACAAATAAAGTGAAATTTGAAACACTGTCTAGTGGGGAGAGTGGTTGTAACCCCAATTTGGCTAGAGATTTTGTTATATCTTACTATGTTATGATAAAGTCAGAATTTCGTGGAAAATTAAATTAAATTATTATAAACCCCATTTCTAATCTCATCTTATTTTTTCTGTTTGAGAAATTCTGGATTTAGTTTGTATCAAGATGGCTTTTTAGGGTTTTATTGGGATCAGAAGCATGTTGGCTCAAACCATGAGCTTTACCAGGTGATGGTTGCATGCTTTGCTAAAACCAGAAATACATTGATCCGCCTTGGTCATTAAATCCCCGTTGCATTATTGCAGATGGAATTGGAGACACTTTGTCAATGTCATCTCAAAACAGTGACTTTTTTTCCATCTTTGTGGAAACGTTTTATCCTGGATTGATCTATACTGATACCTAAGCTCTCATTTTTAAATAATTCAGAAGTTACATCATAATATCTGTGTTCAGGGAGATACATGCATTAGCAGGTGAAATTTATTATTCAAAATGTAACAGAATTTAAATGAAAAAGTTCATGCGAGTATGTTTCTTGCTGTCCAGAGGAGAAAACAAACAAGGAGTTGATATCTGTAATAATTTTAAAAAGTGACTCACTGGACAGGAGCAAATAGGTTCAATCTTGTATATATACTGCTTCTTGGAACATTTTGGAAGTAACTGATGTGAAGCAATCTAGAGAACCTGAAACTTTAGCAAATAGTTTCCATATCACTTAAATGCATTTCAGGACAATCAAGGTAATTACACCCTTAAGCCAATTTTTTTCATTCTCACATACAGAGTAAGATATCATCATCATAGTTACTTTTCTCTCCTTGCTGAGACAAAATACCAGACACCCAAAGCTAAAGGAGGCAAGGGCAGCCTAGCTCTCGGTTTGAAGGGACTGGCTCTAAGGCGGGGTGGTGTGGCGAAAGGGCATGGAGGAGTAGAAACAGTCCAAGGTAGGCAGAAGGTGGTAAAGCAGCAAGAGTCGAAGGCCTCCGTCTATCTCTTATATGTTATCTAGGATACTTGGGACTGGAAGCGCTCACACCCATAATCTTAGTGCCCTTGATCCTAGCACTTGAATCAAGCCCAGTGTCTAGACGCAGTCACCTCTTTAAAAGCCCCACCTGGGACTGCAGGCATGAGGCTTTGTCAGCACATCTACACGAGAGCCATAACAATGTTCATAAACATGCATATGTTTATTTAAAGTGTACAGTAGATGTACTTAGTATGATAATTTATTCAACTATTACACTATCTAAAGCATATTATTCAAATGGCTTAAACAAATGAGATAACTGGAGTAATATCTTTGCTCTTATAAGTATTTTTATAAAAGCCATTTGAGAACATTAATTGTATCGTGCATTTATTCATAGATATGATATTCAGTAGACGGATTTGTAAAAGGTTATTTTACTTTTGAATCACCTTTAAACTCAAAGCTTTATTAGTAGTTATTTTTGAAGACTACCCCTGAGTGCTTTAATAAAGTTACATTCCTGACAGTGTCTGTTGATACAGGCAGCAACTGACGAAGAGTTGAAAAACTATTGAGCTAATTATGCCATTGTCTCTAATGATCATATATGTAAATTTATTCTAACTTCCAATCATCAGTTTTCAACTCATTAGAAACTGTGTTTATTTTTCATCATCCAGATAATGAGCAAGGCAATTTATCTATATAGAGGATATGATTATGCCAAACTATTTTAAAGAATTCCTTAATTATAATAGGATTATAATTTCTAAATAGCCCAGTCGGCTATGTATAGCAGAACGATACAGCAGCTGTTTCTTTCTGGAGTGTTTATGGCAAGGCAGAAATCTGTTTGCATTCTGCTGAGAAGTAAGTGTGATGAAGAAGACAGGATTCCAGTTATGCCTCCTGTTTCTTTCCAGAAAGCTCCATCACTTTTCCAGCATTGTTCCTTCAGCAGTGCCTCAGTTTTCTTCACTTCCTGCCATTTCCAGGGCTCCTGGTAATCGTGGGTCTGCTACAGTGTGGTCCCATAGTTTACTATTTGAGGAAACATTCTAGCTCTTCTCTGCAGTTTATAGTTTTTTCTTTTAAATATACCAAAATATGAAACTATG